CACGAAACCTTACAACTATTGCTCGAACAAGTCTGCCAGAACAAAAAACCCATGAACCCTCATGAAGCTGAAACGTTATTAATAGAATCACTTTCAACTTCAGATGCAATACCGCGCAATGCCGACCCACTGCATGCAGCCAGTGCTATTCTGCAGGACTTGTGCCAAGTCCCTAGCTTTAACTTGCGCAGAAATTTCGGTAGATTGGAGAGACAAGCGGAAGCCAGTTCTAAAATACTCATCGTGAATTGTTGCGATGTTCTGTGCACCAATAAAGTTGTCCCACTTACCCTTTGCAATGGCAAATTGTTTCTATCTTAAGCCAGAAGGTATCATTTCGATCACAAAAGTCGTTACGTTTTTTGCTGTGGACTTCCGGTGGACTCCGGATTTAGACTGGCATCACTGTTCGGATTCTAATTCAGATAGCAGTGGTGTCATGAGGAACTTGAACTGGAATTTTCAGTGAACAGCCTTCAGTAAGCTTGATGACGAAGGAACAGTTCATTAATTTGGTTTTAGTACAATCGAAATTGAGGTGTTCTCGACATCCATCCAAGTACATGATGAAGGAGCGTGTAAACCCTCCAGTCAAAGGAGTGGCATCTAACTTGATTTGCAGGTAAGTAGATTGTTCTTCAGCAATGGCATAGAGGTGTTCTAGCGCTTTTGGAAGCCAGATCTATGACCGTTGTCGAACTGGGGTTTGCGCAAAGCATGCAAGCATAATCTTTAAAAGCGAGACAGGATCCGGACTTGTGCAGCATCCTCAAATCTTGTTGTATCTTTACCGAGTGATCCCGTCTTGCTTTTCGGCAAGTTGCGATCTTACTGGTACCGCTATGAATTTCAGGGAAGCGGTGCGTTAGGCAACCGACCGCATGTGCATGCTGGTTTGACAGTCAACAAAGAGCATTTGAATCCCGAAGACCATCGAACGCGTTCACAATCGCATATCTGATCTCTTCAATACATACTTATAACAAGTCGGATTGTGCCACTTTGTTGCAGGGATTCATCAACAGTCCTGATGAATATCAAGCTATCAACAGTCAAGATGAATATCGAACTAGACAATGCCATAACGCGTGACAATTGTCGGAATGCAGCGTCGCGGTGTCAAAAAATAAAATCCGATGGAACTTTTGCCTGTCGTGTTCCACGGCACGAGGGCCATCAACCGGGTTATTTTAATGAGTCGCAGTTCATTTTCGACGACGAAACTAAGGAACGACTGCACAAATTACGACTCGGCAGTAAAAATCCAAGCCATTTCGAATCGTTGGCGAAGACAGAGGAGATCACTCTACCTGAAGACCTGCGAGGGGGCCGTTACATCTAGCCGACCGATCCTGAATACATACGCGTGCTCAGCAACGGTCGACTCTTTGCCGCTTTCAAAAGCATGGTAAACGTGCAACTGTGCGATAGGAGATTTCAATCCTCATATCTTGCAAAGTATGCTGCAGGTGCGGACGAAAAACGCCTTGCTTTTTATCAAATCTCGTTCTGAAAATCCAAACTATATAGAAGTGATCATGCAGGACCTTTACCACGCCAAAATCTCAGGTGCTAGGTTTGAAAAAGATGAGCAAAACCGTCGAAATGGGAATAGAGAAGCGCTTGCTCGAGAGATCTCCTTGACAGAGGTGATTTGGTTTCTACTCGATCTGCCCTAGGTTTGCACCAATATCGAATTTAAACATTTCTCAACTCATGCACAGGAACATAAAGGTGCTATCGTGAAATCCGGCATCATATGCTGTAAAAAATTAATAGGCGCATCATTATTGCCCGTGACATTCACGATGTTGCAAATAATTGTCCTGCAAGAATACTCAGTCACGGTTTTCAGTTGATTCCACAACTTTGTTCTCTCTGAAGCCACCCAAGCTGTTGTGCATAAAATCTCCGGCGAAATATTTGCAGTGGTTCTCAGGTAAAGCCGCGAGCAAGTACAATGCATCTGCTGATTTGCGCAGGAGTCCTTTGATGGATGGTTCGTGCCGTCGCGTAAGTGTTCCTGCCACTTTCCGGGGAATGACCGCACTTCAGGTACGAACCTAAGGGTCAATATATTTCCCTCGAGAACTCACCTTACTATCATTTTAAAGGAAAAATCCTGAAGTTTTCTGTCAGTTTTCTGATCGACTAAAAAGTTTTTCCTAGCTCATACAGGGAGTCTGGAAATTGAATTCAAAGTTTTAAAGACTTAAGTTCACGCTCTGGTGGGAAAAACAACACACTTATGTCCGAACTGAAATAAATTTTATCGCATTTGAGCTCAAAAAATTATGGAAGATGCAGCTCGGCCAGGCCCAACTTTCCATGTATCCAAAAGTTGAAAAATTTATTCTCCCTATGATTTTCAAAATGGCTCTAGCGTTCTGCATTTGATATATGTGATAGACCGTGAAAAATGATGTTGAATGATGGTGTGACCAAAGCATATAAGCTATAATCAATTTGATTTTTCTTCGTCTGATCGGTTCCAAAAACTTCCCTCCAGAACGCACTTCCCTCCTAGGTTCGAGACCTGTCTTGACAGCTTTCCTCCAGAAGCGCCCTTATAACCTGTAATGCTGACAGGTTTTTCTGACAGGTCCCACCAGGGAATGGACCACAAAATCAATCAGCAAAGTGATTTTGAGCATTGGATTCCCCTGTAAAGCCCGATTGCACAGCTTCTACGCAGCTTCTCGGAAATTTTGTAGCGGGTTCATTTCATTTTTCTTCTTAGACCAATCATTTGGGCCAATAGCTTTCGAGTTAGGAAGTTCTACCATAGTTTTTTGGATTTTTCAGCTTTTTTGCGTTAAGATCAAAAATCTTTTAACGCAAAGCAAAAACTCGAAATTCGCCATAGGAAAGGAGTTATGAGCGTTTGAAAAATTCATTTCATTTTTCTTCTTAGACCAATCATTTGGGCCAATAGCTTTCGAGTTAGGAAGTTCTACCATAGATTTTTGGATTTTTCAGCTTTTTGGCGTTAAGATCAAAAATCATTTAATGGAAAGCAAAAACTCGAAATTCGCCATAGGAAAGGAGTTATGAGCGTTTGAAAAATGTATGTCAAAAATTAATTATTTTGCTTTCATATTTTCGCAATTTCAAACTTATGCTTGTATTTCACGAGAATCCCCTATCTTCTCGTTTAATATCACCGTAATTAGTTGGAAATATCGTACTAAGTTAGTACTAACGAATACGGTCAGTACTAACGTACTAAGTTTGACGGTTGGGAGCGTTAGTACGAACGTACTAACTAGTAGGTACGTTAGTACTAACTTAGTACTACCGTACTCACCTGTAAACCAGTCACTTCGACAGGTTTTTTGACAGGTCCCTTCACGGAACGACCACCACAAAATCTATCAGCAAAGTTATTTTTGAGCTTTTGAGCATGAAATACCCCTGTAAAGACCGATGTGCAGCTTCTTCTAGTGCTAAGTTAGTACGGTACTAAGGGATATTCGCTGGTGGTATCTGGCATCTCAAGTCGGAGGCAGGCGTGCGCTCAACGGCCGCAACGGCCGCACTTGTCAGTCACTCAGTTGGCCTCGGTCTTTCGTCACGTGTGCATATGTGTGTGTCGCTGCGTTCTTTGAGCCGGCATATAATGCAAATATTGTGTATTAACCTTATGAAACTTTTGTGATTGTTAGCAGTAACTAATTGTGAAGTAACAGAACACATATTTGAAGTAATTTTTAGGACTAATTAGTGGTTTTTGTGACTATTGCATCATGCTTGCAAGTGAAACGTTTGAGCAGGGAAGCCTGGCTTCCGACCGTTAACCTAGCAGTGCAGCCCGGCACGTGTGTTCGTTACAACTTTAGTTAGTCGGACTAAGAATGAACTTGTGTGATATAGATGTGTATTATTGATATATTATGTATAAATATTGATTCATGTGTATTTGTTAGACGACGACAGCGTGGATTCAGGCAAGTTAGCTATGAAATTTTTTAGCGTTTTCATTTCATTTTTATACTTAGATCAATCATTTCGGCCAATAGTTTTCGAGTTAGGAAGTTCTAACCTAGTTTTTTTTTTATTTTTCAGCTTCTTTGCGTTAAGATGAAAAATCTTTTAATGGAAAGCAAAATCTCGAAATTCGCCATAGGAAAGGAGTTATGAGCGTTTGAAAAATTGTATATCAAAAATTAATTAATTTTTCAATATTTTCGTAATTTGAAACTCATTTATCTGGAAAACTATGACGATTAAGGAAAATTGACACGAATAATGTTTGAAAGAAGACACAAATGTGCTTCGATTGGTCCCAAGTGTTGACCTCAGGGCTATTTCGTTCCCCAGATATTGACCGTCAAATATGACACATATTAAAGATGACCCATCAGGTACCATAGTAGAACAGGTTCGATCCTTGTGGTAACGATTTCATATCTAATTGTGTTTTGCAGATTAATTACTGTGTATTTGTTAGACGACAGCGTGGACCCTAGGCAAGGTAGGAGGAAATTTAATTAGGATGTACTTCTTTCTAAATAATTTCGTAATTATAAATAGTATACAAATAGGACTTCTTTCTCCAATTTCGCAATTTTTAATAGAATTACTTGGTGTTTCTTATTATCCTTGGACCCCAATTTGTTAGACGACAGCGTGGACCCTAGACAAGGTAGGATGAAATTTAATTAGGATGTACTTCTTTCTAAACAATTTCGTAATTATAAATAGTATACAAATAGGACTTCTTTCTTCAATTTCGCAATTTTTAATAAAATTACTTGGTGTTTCTTATCCTTGGACCCCAATTTGTTAGACGACAGCGTGGACCCTAGGCAAGGTAGGAGGAAATTTAATTAAGATGTACTTCTTTCTAATTAATTTCAGCTATCTATATTTATGTTCTACCCGGTCGGAACCTGGTTAAACCAGGTACCGGAATTTACTCACTCGACAAAAAACAGGTATATCCAGTTAGGATTTGTTACCACAAGGATCAAACCTGTTAGTCAATGGTACCTGATGGTAGAATTTAATGGATTTTCGTATCTAATTGTGTTTTGCAGATTTCACAGATCTATCTAAATTTTTTGCGAGATTTCTTGAATGAAAACACCTTAATAATGAGCAGCTCGAACTCATCACGCTCACCTTCGCCAGAGCGGCGACTTGTAGGTAGTTTGAAGAGAAAGATTGCAGAGAACAAGAAGAAGAAAGTTGTTAAGAATGTATTCAAGAAGCGAAAGCTTGAGAAATCTAAGATTCTGCCTCCTGTCAGGCCTCTTACGCCCCGGCCTCCTCTCAGGAAGTCAATTGACGAAGTCAATGAAGCATCAACTTCTAGCGGCTACCGCCGTCCTCGGCCTAAGAAAGCAAAAGATAATTTGCTAAGCGACCGTATTCCAATGATGGATCTACTTCCTGATGAGAGATCAAAACCCGTATATTTTTTTGGTCCAGATGGGCAAAAGATCGTTGGTGCAAAGAAGAGGAAGTTGAGTTTCATGAGCAGATTTGAATTGAAAGAAAGCGTACAGCCAGAAGTCGCATCATTATTTTTGCCAGAATCTATTTCTTCTGCGAATGCTGCACCTGCAGAAAGGAGCACTCCTAAAAAGCGCAAGCAAGGAGGCACAGCTGCAGTTGAAGTAATCAATGAGCAGGTGAAACGCCACCTGGAAACGTTGCTTGGCGAAGCCTGCGGCGAGGAAGGAGGGCGGACGACGCGTGGTGAAGCTGGCGATGCTTCTCATGAAAGTGAATTATCTATGTCAATGATGATAATGCAGTTAAATGTTGTATCTAAAATGGCTTTCGATGCTCTTTAGTTATTCTTTGTAACTCAAAATGTGTTGCTTTACTTTTTCTTAGGAGATGGCTTGCATCACGAAGACACGCACGTCGAGGAGGCAGAGGAGACTCCCGTTCAGGAGGGAGGCGAAACTTCCTGTGGCGAGGAAGGAGCGCATACGACGCGTGGTGAAGCTGGCGATGCTTCTCATGAAGGTAAATTATCTATGTCAATGATGATAAAGAAGCTTCATGTTTTATCTAAAATGTGACCCTAGTCAAAACCTGTCTTGACAGCTTCGTAACCTGTCTTTACAGGTTTCGACCCTGATGGGGTACCGAGAAGGGAACGATCACCACCAAGTGCGTTTGATGGTAAAACATGAATCTTTCGATGCTCTTTAGCTATGCTTTGTAACTCAAAAATGTGTTGCTTTACTCTTCCTTAGGAGATGGCTCGCATGATGAAGACACGCACGTCGAGGAGGCAGAGGAGGCTTCCGCCGGCGAGGACGGAGGCGAGACTTCCGGTAGCGAGGAAGACGGGACGACGCGTGCTGAAGCTGGCGATGCTTCTACTGAAGGTAAATTATATATGTCAATGATGATAATGCAGTTAAATGGTTTATGTAAAATGCCGTTCTATGATCTCAATTATGCTTTTGAACTCATACACAAGAAAAACCAGCATAAAAATGTAGTACCGAACGTAGAATTTATTTCTCCGAGAGATGTAAAAAGTTTGTGCTTTGATTTTCCATTGCAGACACCACTGTCCCTGAGACTGAGGAAGGTTCGCCCTACGACATCTCGTCTGGGGACGATTCATTTGTGGACCGCGCATACGTTCCGCCTGATGACTTGTCATCATCCAGTGATGACAGCGACGAAGAGCCTCCTGCCAGAGACGTCCAACTTTCTGATAGAGCGCAAGAGAGACGAGCGAGACGGAGGAATAGGGCGATTGCAGAAGGTCGACGCTTGCGTCGTCCAAAAGGGACCATTTCCCAATTCGCCGTTCCTCTGTACAGCACGTCAGGTAAACAATTCAGCCTGAACCCCGAGGCTATAAAAAGTCGACGCCGAAGGCTTGCTTTGAAAACTCTGACTGCTGACGATTCGTCCGACTCTGCGCAACCATCATCGGGAAGGATCCGTCGCTACAAGCCAGGACAGCTGCGTCCGCCACCTGGGGCAGTGACAGATCACGGCATCCAGATTTTCAAGAATGTATCAGCACGAGACCAGAAGCTTGGGAAACTCAATCCAGCTCCATGTAAGGCCAACCCAGTCCTTGCGGAAACCAACGACGCGGAGCTTGAGAAGCTGCTGGCAGATGCGAACGCGATGCTCCACAGAACAGAGGAGTATCTTTTCAAGATACGCGCAAGAATGACCATTGACGAGGCGTTTGCAGCGGCGAGGTTTGTATGAGTTGTCTCACAGGGAATCCTAATATGAATGTTCAATTGTTCTTGCCTTATAACATTGGAAATAATGCAATTTTTCTTGACTGATACGCTTATTACATGCACTCGTGTATTCTCTTGGCAGGGAGAAGGTAGAAGGCGAGGGTTCAGAAGACGACCCTGCAAGTGCTGGATCTGGGACATGTGCTATCAACCCGATGAAGGCCATGTTCAAGCGAACCCCCAAATGCCTGACTGATCGTAATCAGGAAGACTGTTTGATCCCTTCATGTAATGGCCGGGCTGTGATGAAATATATGCGTAGACATTATGAGTCGGCGCATAATTTCTTGCCTAATCATGCCATAACAATGCAAAGTCACCACCACAATCTTGTAGAGATAAATAAACGTAAAGAGACAACCTTGGATGCAAAATCACTAACTGCTCGATGTAATTTCGTCATTAATTCAGTAATGCCTGAAATTGATTTACGTCCTGCAAGCCAGGCGTTGAGTGAAGCACTTTTGCCATTATCTATTGTTAATGCTATTGTTGACGGCCTTGGCAAAGGCACGGTTCTAAAGGATCAGACTGCTAAGATTGTCTCAGGGCTGGTAAAGAATGCAAATGATGGAGAAGCAACGAGCAGCACTGCTAGCTCCACTGCAGACGTAGAGCTGTCGACTTGCCCCCCGCCTCAACCAGAACAAGAACCTCTCCAGCCTCAACCTCCTCAACAGTCCGCCGAAGATGAAGAATGGGACAGGCACCTACGCCCGGGCGAAAAGCCCAAGTTGCGTTTCATCACCCTCTGCCCGAGATGCCACAAGCCATTCTTGACTCGCCGTCTCAAAACTCATCTTCTAACCACAGAGAAACTCAGCGAGGAAGCCGCAGACCTGGCTTACGAGCATGCTCAAGTCCATGAGGAGCTCGTTTTGCTAGATGCTGTTCCAACAATGGGCAAGGCGGTAGCAAAAATCACTCCTCCAGAGAAGATCAAAGAATTACGACAGAAATTCACAAGAGGGCATGTCGCCCTTCTAGAGATCAAGATGATCCCTCCGAAAATAATTATGCTGTCGCCGAAACCTGGCCGAGAGCTACTGGAGAAGAGAGTTGGTACACCGCTCGTGACACAAGCGGTGATGCATTACGAGGATATGGATATACGGTTTCAACAGGCTTTTCCAAAATTATTTGAAATTCTGACTGACTTTCACAGGAGTCTACTTAACTTGGACTCGACCTCAAAAGGTCAAACGGCGGCTGATAAAAACTTGAAGGACTTTCTTGTGGTCATTTTTTGTTACATTGCCTCGCTACCGCAGGAGGAGCGCATTGACATTGACATCAAATGGATCCTTCGAAACTGCAACCGGATGCTTCACTCTTTCCGTCAGGTCGTGGGAGGCGTACTGAGGCAAGGGACGATGATAAGACAGTTGCGGTCCGTGTCCATCTTCGCCCTCTACGTCAACAATCTGTGGATGAGCGAAGAACAGCTCGGCAATTTTTCCGTCGGTAACGTGAAAGAACTGGTGCATCAGCACAATCTTGTGATCCTTAGAGACTACGAAACGCACAGACATTTTGAACCGATCGATGAGCGCAATTTGCGCACCATGATAACAGTCGACGCCATCAACCGGCTCTTAGATGCATCCAAAATCAAAAACTTCTGTGAACTGGCTCTAAGTTACGCCGAACATAAGAGGACCAATGCACCTATTCCGTTTGAAGAGTTCCGCACTGTCATGCCAACACGCAAAACAGCGTTATACCTGAGAGACGTCCTCATCACAGTCATCGGAATACAAACGGCAAGAAGGTCATTGGAGATGACAACTTTCAACTAAGAGTCGTTCAGACGGCCAGTGGTGGTACGCGAGGGTAAATACTGTATATACAAGGTAAGGAGGCATAAGACTGGGAGGTCTATACTTTGCCATTTAACGGTGCTCGGAATGTATGCATCCCTCCTCTCCGCCTACGTACTCCACTATCGGTCCACTTTCACGAACGATGACTCTCCTCTGTCTCCAGTGTTCTGTACCATGACTTCCAGCCTCACTGAAGCTCGACCTTTAATGGTGAGCACGGTAGGACTGATCACCATTCACCAATAAAGTCATGGTAAACTACGCCGAAGTTACAGACCAGCCCCGGTTCACGCTGCGAAAGAATCGCAAGCTAGTGGTGTCTGTAACGAAAGACATGCCAGACCAGAGTCCCGTACTAAACAGTGAAATGGCTTTAGTTATGGGGCACACGTATGATACTCAAAACACGTTCTACACGGTGGGTACTATGGACGGCCGTATTGACCGAGTCACGAGTCACATCTGGCAGAAGGTTTACAGTAGAGAAAGCTATCGCACTCCATTCGAACGCTCCCACATTGTTGGCGCCAACTTAGTGCCTGGGGCAAATATACCTGCTCATGACGACACCGACGTCATAATCATGAAAGATATTGAAGCCGCCCGAGCTGCTAGGCGTGCTAAATTAGCTTTAGCTCGCAAAGGACGCTCGAGGCCTTCCGACGCACTCTCAGAAGAAGACGAGTCAGAAGAAGAAGACGAAGAAGACGAACCTGACGCGGCTGCGCAGGCCGCGCAGAGTGAGTTAGATCTGCCAATTGACCTTCCCACGGATGAAGAAGAAGAAGATCCTGATGACCCCAATGCCTCCAGCAACTGTTCTCTCCTTGCACCGCCTCCAGCAACTGTTGGCAAAGGCAAAAGCGGGGGCAAACATAAGACTAAGAAGTCTATGAAGAAAAAGACAGCGCCCACTGGCACCTCAACGGATCCCGCTAGGACTTCTGAACCTTCACCGGTCGTGGCTCCTGCGACTCCATCTGTGGCTCCTGCGACTCCATCTGTGAAAGGCTCTCATTTACGAAAGTGGCTCCTTACGTTTCCATCTGTGAAAGGCTCAAACATCTCAGTGGCTCCTGCGACTCCATCTGTGGAAGGCTCAAACATCTCAGTGGCTCCAGCGACTCCATCTGTGGAAGGCTCAAACATCTCAGTGGCTCCTGCGACTCCATCTGTGGAAGGCTCAAACAACATCTCAGTGGCTCCTGCGACTCCATCTGTGGAAGGCTCAAACATCTCAGTGGCTCCTGCGACTCCATCTGTGGAAGGCTCAAACATCTCACTGGCTCCTGCGACTCCATCTGTGGATGGCTCTGGCTCAAACATCTCACTGGCTCCTGCGACTCCATCTGTGGAAGGCTCAATCATCTCACTGGCTCCTGCGACTCCATCTGTGGATGGATCTGGATCGATGATGTCAGTGGATTCTGCAAGTCCTTCGGACCATGGTAGAGATGGGAATGAAAGCGTCCTTGAGCCTGTGTCAACCCCAGCATCTAAAGAGGCAACCCAGAAAGAGTTGCACGTTGCCAAGAAACTATGCAACACTAACAGTAGGATACTAAGTAGACTGATGAAGACCCATAAAGAAATTTTCATGAAAGAAGTATTCAATGCGACAACTGTTCCATTGATCTTTCCATTTCTGATGGCTCCATTTAACAGTGAAGTTGAATTCATAGTCGTGTTGGTTAAGGCTCTCCAAGATTCGGGTGCTATTAGAGTGAAATAATATGTTCCTAATGTTCCCAATGTGCCTCATGAAATAATAGTGATTCATAATAATGATCTTATCCTTATAATGATTCATAATCCTTATAAGAATGATTCCTAATGTTCTTGTTCCAGCAGTTGTGCTAAAGGAAAATAATATGTTCCATATACTTTATTCATGTTCTGTATCAATTTCTTGAAATAATGATTCCTAATGATTTTTCCTAATAATAATGATTCATAATGTTCTTCCAGCCGTTATTGCGAAGGGAAAGTAATATATATGTTCTTTATACTTGATTCATGTTATGTTCATTCATTCTTGATTCATTTTATGTTCATTCATTCTTGATTCATTTCATGTTCATTCATTCTTGATTCATTTAATGTTCATTCATTCTTTTATGTTCATTCATTCGTGATTCATTTCATGTTCATTCATTCTTGATTCATTTAATGTTCATTCATTCTTTTATGTTCATTCATTCTTTTATGTTCATTCATTTTTGATTCATTTTTTTGAAAGTTTGTAACAGGATTTATTTCGAATAAACTTTTAAAATGTACATGTTTTGTCATTAATCTCCTTAACATACTGAAGTTTGAGCTTGATTGAAGTTTAACTACTGGTTTTTCAAAAAGTTGAATGTAAAATGAACTTAACGATCTGTGGAGGGAAGCTGTTATGAAATTTATGAACATCATGGTATTCTTTCCCTACACAGTACCCTATGAGGTTCGAAACCTGTCATTACAGGTCAAAACCTGTCTTTACAGGTCTTACTTTTAATGAACCTTGATGAATAACTAAGTCATTTTTTAAGATAGAAGCATGAACTTGGTCTGGTTGGATGCGCCTCAAGCTCCCATTTCGTATATTGGCAACGGAATTTGGCTCCCCAAATTCCCCAAATATCTCCCCAGATTCTCAAATGACAACCTTGGACGCATCTTACCAGAAGAAAGTAATATTCTGCCTTTTAATGTGACTGAGCTATTCGTCCAAGTGCAAAACCTGTAATTACAGGTTTTGAACCTGTCCTTACAGGTTTCGAACCTCATTGGTTAATGTGGCGGGCACGATGACCAACAAGTGCGTTTGAGGGGAAAGCATGAATCTTGATGAATAACTAAGTCAGTTTTAAAGATAGACGCATGAACTTGGTCTCGTTGGATGCGCCTCAAGCTCCCATTTTGTAAATTGGCAACGGGATTTGGCTAGGTGCGAAAACGAAGAAGTTATTCAATATAATGTGATTTTTCTAAATAACTTTGGAACTATCGAAGTTTTTTGCACCAAAATTCTACCAACATGTCTTTAAATCCTAATACATAGAATTACGTGCTGCAATGCTTCATTCGAGATGAAATGATGAAAAACATATGTCTACATCGTAACTATTTGCTAAAGTCGAAGCACGTTCCCAGATTCTCAAATGACAACCTTAGACGCATCTCACCAGAAGAAAGTAATACTCTGCCTTTTAATGCGACTGAGCTATTCGTCCAAGTGCAAAACCTGTCTTGACAGGTTCGAAAGCTATCTTTACAGGTTTCGACCCTTATGGGGTACCGAGAGGGGAACGATGACCACCAAGTGCGTTTGTTGGGAAAACATGAGTCTTGATTAATAACTCGTATGCTTTCCAGCCGATTGCTTTCAAACGTTAATATGTTATTGTCCACGTTATTCCGGTCATTTTGATACCTGACTCGTTACAGTGCAAGAATAATTGCGGTTTGGGCACACTTTTGTACCGAAGCTGAGGGTCTAGTAAACTGATATACAACTTTACCTCATTTTTTGGACCAAGTTTGAAACCCTCGAAATATTTTTGCTGAATATCAACCCAATTTCAGTTTAACACTAAAATACAACAAAATGCTTCAAATTAAACCCATTTCAAGGGGGATTCATACCCAATATCACCCTATATCGGGCATCCCATTGATATGCACAAAATCAAATTTCATGATTTTTCGCATGTTCCCCATGATGTGCGCATGCTCTTCTCGAATACTTGACGCGTTCTAGAGTAAAATTGTTCCATAGATTCCTAAGTTATCACCTTATAGCGGCCAACAACCTGTGATGAACGCGCTCAAAAATTTCAAGCCATGTCATGTCGGTCCCGACTAAATATGAAAAAAATGGGTCAAAACTCTTTGGATACACTTAAGGAAGCTTTGAACAAGTCTATTGGTAATTATAAGGCATTTTTATGCGCTCTGGCGGCGTCAGAATTGAATAATAGTCAAAATTTGAAAAACTCCTATTTTGCTCCTAAGTATTTCATTTTGGTCCTAAAATGATCGCCATGTCAAGTTTACCAACACACTGAAGTTTGAGCTTGATTGAAGTATAACTACTAGTGTTTTCAAAAAGTTGAAAGTAAAATGAGCCTCACGATCTGTGGAGGGAACTTCCGGCTTATCGAGCGTGGCTCCCAGCCGACATCGATGTGACATAGGTTCATTCTTCCCTTCCCGTACCAGCACCAGGGTCGAAACCTGTCATCACAGGTCAAAAGCGGTGATGACAGGTCGAAAGCTGTGATGAAATTTTAGGTGCTTTGGTTCCCTTCTGAGATATTACCAGTCCCTCCTCAAATGAACCTCATGGTATTCTTTCCCTCCACAGTACCCCATGAGGTTCGAAACCTGTCATTACTGGTCGAAACCTATCTTTACAGGTCTTACTTTCAATGAACCTTGTTGAATAACTAAGTCAGTTTTAAAGATAGAAGCATGAACTTGGTCTCGTTGGATGCGCCTCGAGCTGCCATTTGGTAAACTGGCAACGGGATTTGGCTACATCCACAAACAAAAAAGTTATTCAATAGAATGTCATTTATATGAATAACTTTGCAACTATTCAAGATTTATGCACCAAAATTCTACCAACATGTCTTTAAATGCTAATAAATAGAATTATGTGCTCAAATACTGCAATTTCGGGTAAAATCATGAAAAACGGCTATTAAACTCCTAAAATATTGCAAAAGTCCAACCCCGTTCCCAGATTCTCAAATAACAACCTCTGACGCATCTTACTATAAGAAACTGATATTCTGCCTCTAAATGTGACTGAGCTATTCGTCCAAGTGCAAAACCTGTCTTGACAGGTTCGAAAGCTGTCTTTACAGGTTTCGACCCTTATGGGGTACCGAGAAGGGAACGATGACCACCAAGTGCGTTTGTTGGGAAAACATGAATCTTGATTAATAACTCGTGTGCTTTCAAGCCGATTGCTTTCAAACGTTAATATGTTATTGTCTACGTTATTCCGGTCATTTTGATACCTGACTCGTTACAGTGCAAGAATAATTGCGGTTTGGGCACACTTTTGTACCGAAGCTGAGGGTCTAGTAAACTGATATACAACTTTACCTCATTTTTTTTGACCAAGTTTGAAACCCTCGAAATATTTTTGCTGAATGTCAACCCAATTTCAGTTTAACAATAAAATACATCAAAATGCTTCAAATTAAACCCATTTCAAGGGGATTCTTGCCAAATATCTCCCCATATTAGGCAAAACATATTTTTGCTCAATATCAAGCCAATTTCACTTTAACACTAAAAAACATCAAAATGCTTCAAATTAAACCCATTTCAAGGGGATTCTTGCCAAATATCTCTCCATATTAGGCAAAACATATTTTTGCTCAATATCAAGTCAATTTCACTTTAAAACTAAAAAACATCAAAATGCTTCAACTTAAAACCATTTCAAGGGATATTCATGCCTAATATCACCCAAAATCAGGATAAAGGAGATGAACTATACCTAGCTTGGACCTAACCTGCGAGGACTTTCACGCGCGCCGTGGATCGAGTCCCCTCTGTGAAAGGAGGCTAGTAATTCCCATAGACTTTTCCGGCAGTACATTTTCGGATAAGGGTGGTCTCTCTGATATGCGGCGCTGTGAGAGAACTTAGACTTAGCGGTCGCTGATATGAGCTGTGAGAGAACGTAGACTTTCGAGCATGGATGGTCACTGACATGCGCTGTGACACACCGTACAATTCCGGTTGTCTTGCAGTGGCAGAATCTCATAATATAACGACAAGAAAATTTATATATGTTCTAGATAAATATCCAACCGAATACTATTTATCAGCCTTTAAAGTCGATTATTGATCGCCACAAGTCGATACACAAGTTGTTTCAATGATAGAAATACTTAGATACACTTTTACACATGACTCTAATATCTTCCCTTCAACTATGCACCCGGACCGCGAGGGTCATTGCTGACGGGAATATAGGTTCACACCTGTAATGCAGACTTCCCTTCCTGCCCTTCATAGGTTCACCACCTGTCGTCACAGGTCCTATAATCTTCTCACCTATAGGGTCGAAACCTGTCTTGACAGGTCAAAATCGCCGGAGGGAATTTCCCTCCAAGGGCAAGGGAACGCTTTCTGCTAGGTGCGAAAGGTTGACTTTTAATCAACTTACAGCAAAGGGACTTATACCATTTGAAAGAGCTCTTCAAGACAACTACATCACGTGTCACGCACCCTCTAAATCTTTCGATTTAAAAAGTTATTAAAGATTAAACTCATAGGGTCGTCTGTGAAGGGAATTCGCAATATCCCGGCGCTATAAACCCTCAGTAAAACTCTTACCAGTGAAGAACCTTATGGACCTAGCAGAGCGCAACACTTAGGTGTAGGAAAGGTTAGATGCAGTATGACCATGCTTGACTTGAAG